GCTGGAGTCAGGTTAGCTTAGCTTAGCATTAGAACTGGAAGCTGTTTGGAGTTCAGAAACACATCGACCGACGTCTCTACAGATCACTGATGAACACGTTGGTTTGATCTGGACACAAACAGAAAGGTTCAAACACAGTTTTACATCGAGTTTAGATTTATATTTTAAACACCACTTATCATGCAGTCCCCCCCCCCCCACACACACACACACACACACACACACCTTAATGTGAAGCAGACATCCTTCACTTGTCAGTTCATTTGATAAACTGAACTCTGCATCTGAAAGTCTTTAGTGATGCTGTGACTCAGTGGTTCCCAGCTGGTCCAGATTTCTCCTCAGTTCAAGGTCCACAGTTTAATAGATTCAGCGTCGTACCTGTGTTGGGACATGTTGTCCAGCTGGCTGGCTGTTATTCACTGACTTTACAGCAGGAAACAGCACTTTAAAATAAAAGCTCTGTGGCGGAAATTCACTGTACTTCAAAATAAAGTGTGTTTCACAAACTTGACACGTTTCAGAGTCACTTGTGGTCCATTCAGAATGGGCCCCCAACCCACCTTTGGACTACAACCCACCAGTTGGGAACCACTGCTCTATCTTTTGATGTGACGCCGATATCACGTTCATATGTTAATATGTCCAAATTTATGGTTTAGAACTATATATGTGATGAGGTAACATTTTGAAAGCGCTGCATGTGACCCGCCATGTTGGTCTCAGTCAAAAGAAACCTGCTATGCAGACGCAACCAGCACAGAATTTAGAGCTAATGAGTCCTGAAGAAGAACCAGACAGACCAAATCAGAGTCTGAATCAGAGTCTGAATCAGAGACTGAATCAGAGTCTGAATCAGAGTCTGAATCAGAGACTGAATCAGAGTCTGAATCAGAGACTGAATCAGAGATGGACCACAGGGAGGAAATCATGAAGTGTACATAACGGTGAACAAAATGCTGTCATGCATCGAGGTTTATCAGAGCAACATAACATCGTCAACTACAGAGCATTAATTAGCAGCTGTGTTAGATCACGTTGAAGATTATCCACCAGAGGGTTACTGTCACAGTCTCATTACACACAACAAAATTCCAGGACTGTTCCAGGTTTTCCATGACAGTGGTTAGCCTGTTTAAGGTTTAATTTTTCAGAGGCTCCCTCCACTTCTTTATGTCAGTCTGTGTGATGATCAGACGAGTCATGGTAAACTGGAGGAGTTCCTGATGTTTCGTAGAATCAAAAAGGTCCCGAATGTTCAGTATCCTGAACATGAGCTGTTCTTCAGGAGATGATCGACAAGTTTTGGACCCAGAAACTGAATTCTGACAAAACAAAAACAAACATCTGTTGATGAATTAAAACTTCTTCAGTGTTCAGGAAGTGTCTCAGTAAACTTTATGTGAACGTCCTCTCAAGCAGCCTCAGTGATGCAGTGACCTCATGCCCGACGAGCTGTTAACTACTGTAGGTGGTGAGCTAACGGCTAACATGCTAACCAGCTGGGAACATAGGGTGCATTTGAAAATTCTCACTCCAAGTGCTGGAGCTCAGTCAACCTCAAACTGGACCGAGCGCTGCTGGAATGTACGATTCAGTTATCCAGAGCACCAAACTCTGAGAGCAGCAGAGCGCCGAACCGAGTGTACGTGTCATTAGACACCAAACGCTCTGTTACGACAAACAACAGCGCTCTCATATTAGTGTAGAGCATCAGGTTGGATTAACGAACGCACCCTTGGTGTCAGTCAGTCACAGTAGTGTTTGTGTATCGAGGCAGATTAATGTCAATATCATTTGTGTGAACAGATCGACAATCTGTGTTAAAACAACTTTGACAAAAATAGATTTATAAACTAAAGTCTACTTCAGACCAAAGATTCACCATCAGACGAGTTGAAACAGGAAGATACTGTCACACCTGCGTGTGTGACAGGAAGTGACCACCATGAGACGGCGTATCATCTCTAGTGACAGGAAGTGACCACCATGAGACGGCGTATCATCTCTAGTGACAGGAAGTGACCACCATGAGACGGCGTATCGTCTCCAGTCAACGACTCTCTGTGCTTCTGATCTGTAACGTTGACAGGAAGTGACCGCCATGAGACGGCGTATCGTCTCCAGTCAACGACTCTCTGTGCTTCTGATCTGTAACGTCGACAGGAAGTGACCGCCATGAGACGGCGCATCGTCTCCAGTCAACGACTCTCTGTGCTTCTGATCTGTAACGTCGACAGGAAGTGACCGCCATGAGACGGCGTATC